ATATTTGTATTGATTCCTAGAGAAAGGGAATAAAAAACTAATCAGCTACCTCCTGCACGCCCCTCACCAGCAGCAAGGAACCCCTCAACCCCCAACCCAAGCACAGGACGATGCCCAACCAACTGAGCCACACTGGCCAGGGCCAAAGGAATTAATTTTATGGTATGTGAAATATATCTAAAGCAAGCTGTTTTAAAAAAAAAAGTACATTTGCAAAAAATAATATATAAATTTGAAAAAAATAAACACTGTAGTGATAAACAGAAAATAATTCTACATGATCACTGTGATGATAAAAGGGATGGAAGTGATAAGAGAAAAGTACAAATGAGACTGAGGTGGAATCAAGACTTCTCTGAATGAATCTTTTATGTAATTTCCACTTTGAAAGTATATAAATATTTTGCATATAAAAATGAAATTAAAATAATAAAAAAGTTTTTCCTACAAATTAAAACTCAGTCAGATTAAGTTACAAATCAAACAGGTGACATAAATTAGTAAGACTAAAAGACTATTTTGGAAGTAAAATAGGCATTAACTCCTCACTGTGAAAACTGGCACTTAAAAGAATTCTTAGTGAAATAAATATTAAGGAAAAAATAATACTCCAAAGAAATCCTAAATTTTGTTCTGTAGTCTAACAATTAGACAACAAACATTTAGAAACTATTTTATACACATTATAGGAAAATGTAAATAAGCCAGCCTCTAAAAGGGTGCCCAATGATCCCCCCCTTCCTGGTAGTCACACCCTGTGTAGTCCCTCCCACATGGTACCCAGTTGGTTCTGTGATCTATAGCATATGGCAGAAGTGATATGTTATTTTCAAGTTAGGCTGTAAAACACACTGCAGCTTCCACTTAGGTCAGTCTCTCTCTCAATACTCATTTTGGGAGAAGCCAGCTGTCATGTTATGACCAGTACTACTATCCTGCCAACAGGTCTGAAATCTGGATCTTATCTGAAACTTCGTAAGAGACTCTGAGGCAGGACCACCCAGCTAAGCCACTCCTGGATTACTAACCCTCAGAAATTGTGTGAAATAATATATTTGTTGTTTTAGACAGCCAGACTTTGCAGTAATTTATTAAAAGACAGATAATAAAGTTACTATTTTTACCAGTTTTTGGTGTAAGAGAATAGGAGATGCAAGCAAAATGTTACAGTAAAAATTTTGCAAAGTTGCCCAGGCCAGTATGGTTCAGAATTTAGATCACTGGCCCGCTGACTGAAGGGGGTTACAGGTTCGATTCTAGTCAAGGGTATGTACCTGGGTTGCAGGTTCGATCCCTGGCCCTGGTCAGGGTGATACAGGAGGCAACCAATTAATGTGTCTCTTTCACACGAATGTTTCTCTCTCTCTCTCTCCCCTATTCCCTCTCCCTCCCTCCTACTCTATCAAAAAAAAAAAAGAAAAAAAAAAAAAAGAGGAAAAATATTCTCAGGTGAGGATTAACAACAAAAAAAATCTTGCAAAGTTAACTTGAATTAGACACATCAATAAGGGTTTCTGAATTTTTGAAAAGAAAAAAAAGTGGTATTTTCCAGGTTTGTCTACTGAAAAGGCTCAAAGCAATAAGCATATCCAATGATCAGGAAATGGTTTCTAGATACTATTTCCCAGCAAAACGAATCAAGATTTCTTGAAGAAATTCAGGTCTGGGGTTAGAAAAAGAATAGCCTGAGACCTTTTATATGTACCAGAAAATAAGGAAGCCATCAGAAAGTGAGAAAGCTATCAGAAACAAATGCGTTTGTTTAAAAGGACACGTGAACCAACATGAAGGAACTGCCATTTATCAAAGGACAACTGGAAGCAGTAAAAAGGATAATGAACTGACTAAAACACAATGAATATACAAAAGTAAATGAAAATCTATGCATTCACAATTTAAAAAAAATAAGAATAAAAGGGGAAGGGGAGCGAGAGCTCCATCCATCCTTTAAAAAACAAAAACAAAAGAAACCCCAAAAAACATTTCCACTGGACACTACGGAAAGTAATAAGGGCATCAACTCATCACTGAAAATTGGTAAAATCTAAGCATTTACCTTAACTTTTCTGCACAAACTCTTTAGGATACCAAATAGCTCTTGTTGAAAAGACTAGTCCCTTACAAAATGATTCTAGCTAATAAATGGAGAAGAAATGTAAGAATACACTGTTTTCAAACTCCTAATTATAGTGGTTTTTCAAAGTAGAGTAGTCCCAGATCAGCAGCATAACCTGGAAACTGGTTTTAAAAACTCAACTAGAAATGTAAATTTTCAGGCTATGCCCCAAACCAACTAAACTAGAAACTCTGGGAATGGGGCCGAGCCATCTGTGTTTTGAACACACTCTCCAAGTGACTAATGTATGCTAATATATGAGAATCACATCCCTAGTTTTAAAAATATGTTAAATACCAGTCATCAATATATCAAATGAAAAATTAATAGAAAACTTGCCCTGGCCAGTTTGGCTCAGCGGTTAGAGAGCGTTGGCCTTCGGTCTGAAGAGACCCGCGCTCAGTTCCCACTAAGGACATGTACCTCGGTTGCAGTTTGTCCCTGGCCCTGGTTGGGTCGTGTAGGTGGCAACCATTTGATGTGTCCCTTTCACGTCGATGTTTCTCTCTGTCTCTCTCTCCCTCCCTCTCTATCTGAACAAAATATAAAAAAAAATGTCCTCGGGTGAGGATAAAAACAAGAAAACTTTATAAACTTTATAATTGGAGAAGGGAGAATCAAGCTATTACCAAGTAACCTTTAATCAATCTGGCTACCTAAAAAAAACTTCCATACTTTAAAAAGCTAGACACTAAGTGTGAATAAAATAGTATGATGCCTGGTCTTTGTTTTATTATTAAAAAAAAATTTTTTTTTTCTTTATTGATTTGAGAGAGAGAGGGAAAGAAAAAGAGAGAAAGATAGAAACACTGATGAAAGAGAACATCAATTGGCCGCCTCCTGTATGCCCCCCCTCACCAGGGATCTGGCCCACAACCTGGGCATGTGCCCTGACTGGGAATCAAACCAGCAAACCAGCAACCTTTTGGTGCATGGGTTGATGCTCAACCACTGAGCCACACCAGCTGGGCTGGGCTTTGTTTTAAATACTTACGCAAAGAAACAAAACACAACTCAAGTAAATATGACAATATCTTGATAATCAAATCTAAATAATGGAGAAAGCCACTATCTAATCATTTCCTGTATCCTTTGCATAGCACATACTTACAGCTGATGCTCTTTGTAGTGTGAGTGTACCCATTCTATCTTATTAGAAATACTGCTATGAAACTATCTGAGGCACCCTTAGTTTATATAATTTCCCTTCTGTTAAAATGGCAGTGCTCCTGAATTAAAAGTACACCTCTCACATCAGAAAGCTATATTAGAGTGCTTTGCTTTCACTTCAATAACCCTTTATATTTTTAACATTACCATTTCATTGTTTTAAGTAATTATTTTAATAATAGCTACCCCAGCCCTGGCTAGTTTGGCTCAGCAGTTAAGCATGAGTCCGAGGACCAATGGTTCACAGGTTTGATCCCTGGCCCATCCGGGTCATGCAGGAGGCAACCAATTGATGTCTCTCTCTCTCTCTCACATCGATGTCTCTTTCTCCCCCACACCTTCCACTCTATCTGAAAATCAATGGAAAAATATCCTCAGGTGAGGATTAACAACAACAACAAAATAGGCACACCAGATGGCAATACATGAACATCTTAATATTAACTTCATTCAAAATGGCACTGAAGCCCAGGAAGTGTGGCTCAGTGGATTGAGTTGTCATCCCATGGACTGAGACATCGGTCAGGGCACATGCCCGGTTGCAGGCTCAATTCCCAGTAGGGGGCGTGCAGGAGGCGGCCGACTGATGTTTCTCTCCCATATATATGTATCTCTCTCTCTAAAAAAAAAAAAAAAAAAAAATCAATGAAAACATATTTTTAAAGGCATTACAAAATACTTTTCTTCCCCAAATTTTTCAGGCTTTCAACATAAGTTACTTATAACTAGGTAACTTCAACAGGATCCAGTGTTTTGAGGCAAAGGTAAAGGCTATCATAAGTGTAAAAACAAACAAAAACCTTTAAAAGTTTAAATTATCAACATCCACAAAAGTACAATTACTTCAAATACCAAGGAAAGCTTACTGATGTAAGACATGACATTTTTATGTCATGAGAGAAAGTACTGGGCACTGAGAAATGTCTCTTTTATACAAATCATTCAATTTCTCTTGTTTCTCAGTAAAAGTAGAGTTCTCAATTACTTGGATGACAATAAAAGAAGCCATCTAGGTGTTTTTCAAAATTAAAAGATGTTTTCTTCTGCGAAGGCTCTTTAATCATACAAGTGTATAATATTAGATCATACAAGTATATAATACTAGATCATACAACTAAGCTATGAACATTTTAATTTTTTTATTGAATTTATTGGGATGTTTGGTTAATTAAACTATATAGGTTTCAGGTATACAATTCTGTAATATATCATCTCTATATTGTATTTTGTGTGTTCACCACCACATATCAAGTCTCCATCCATCACCATTTACTCTCCCTTTACACTCTTCTACTCCCCCACCCCCACCCCCGCGTTCCCTCTGGTAATCACCCTACTAGTGTCTATGAGATAAAACAATCATTGTAAAGATGAGCAAACAGCTCTCTAGTAGGATTTTGAGGGTTTCTAAAATGACCCGCTAGTATGAAATAAGAATGTCAGAATCTTGATAAATTAATTTAGCAAACCCTCTTTTCAAATTTAACATTGAAAATTTCAAAAGGCAGTTATTCTTTTGAAAAAGATACTGAATAATCACAACTGATGAGTTATTCTCTTCCTGTTTTGTTCATAAAAAAAGCATCTGAATACCTTTGTTGGTCCTCAGAGGTCAAAGCTGAACCACAAGTATTTCTTCATTACAAACTGAGTCACTTTATTCATGCAGCATGCAGACCACAAGCAAACCAGGCAGGGTTATTCTCACCTTTACCTGCTCTATATGTCTTGGCTTGATTCACTGGCATGGGCGTCATAGGTATAGGGTATAAAGGCTTGAGGGATTAAAAAAAAAAAAAAAAAGATTAGGCCCTTAAAAACACATTTTACCACTCTTCCAGTTGTATACTGCTAGAGAGCTAGCTCTGAGGTTTCCTGATTTTCTTATGAGTCATTAAAAAAAAAAAAATTATACCCATATCTAGAAGGACAGATCCCAAATTATTGTAAATCTAAAGCATCTTTCTCACCAGAAACATCCTCAGATTTAGGCCCTTACATTAACAGCACACCACACCATTGCATGTCTCCCCTGTTCAAATACTTGTCATCCCTCCTGTCACTGCACGCCTATAGAGCACTTGGTGTCGGATGCAAATAACCAAGGAGAGTAAATGAACATCAAATTCTGTGACTTACTTGCACGCCTGGGCTCACTGGGACTGGATACATCATATTTGGTGCAAAACAAACAGGTTGAGTATAAACTGGAGTTGGCTGCTGATGACCCACCATAGATGGGCTAGGTTGTGCTTGAGGACGAGGTGAAGTTGGGGTGGTAGAAGGCTTTGGCTACAAAAACAAAAATCAACTCTCTTAAGGTGACAAGCTAACTACTACTGCAACTTGAAGACTGATTTTTCCCATCTTTCTAAGTTTTACTCGTTTTTAATTAGTCCCTTTTAATGAAAAAACTTATAGTAAATAAACCACACATTTTAAATAAAAGAAAAAACACTGGCAGAAAATTAAAGAAAAATTTCTCCAATTATTCAATAATACTATTAAAAACAGTAGTGATGCCCTGGCCGGTTTGGTTCAGCGGTTAGAGTGTCGCTGGTGGACCAGAGTTACAGGTTTGATTCCGGTCAAGGGCACGTCCCTGGGCTGCAGTTCGTCCCCAGCCCGGTTGGGGTTGTGCAGTCGGCAGCCAGTCAATGTATCTGTCTCTCTCTCTCTCCCCCTCCCTCCGGCCCTCCCACTCTATCTAAAGATAAATTTAAAAAATATATCCTCAGGTGATATTTTAAAATAGTTAAAGAATAAATGTATTTTCAGTATATCTATGAACCTGACAGACCAACTAGCCAACCATTCAAATACAGAGTCAAAGAGCCTGACAGATTTGCCCCACGTAGCATCTACCTGATGACAAAACAAGTATCTTTCCTCTGGCTCAAACATATTTATTAATGACCAATAAAAAAGGGTACTTAAAAAGTTGTTTCAGCCCTGGCCAGTTTGGCTCAGCGGTTAGAGCGTCGGCCTGCGGTCCGGAGAGACCCGGGTTCAGTTCCCGCTAAGGGCACGTACCTCGGTTGCAGTTTGTCCCCGGCCCTGGTTGGTCGTGCGGGTGGCAGCCACTCGATGGGTCCCTTTCACGTCGGTGTTTCTCTCTCTCTCTCTCCCTTCCTCTCTCTCCCTCCCACTCTATCTGTACAAAAAATGGAAAAATATCCTCGGGTGAGGATAAAAAAAAAAAAAAGTTGTTTCAGCATACTATAACTGAATTTAGATGTCAGGTATGAGAAAAAAAATACTACTAATACTAAAAAATTAATTTTTTAAAAGGCTAGATTACTTCAAAGAAGAAATACATTTACCTGAGAAAAAGAACGAGGGTTGAACTCCTTTGCATTGGGATTCAATGTTGATTTCCTCACTTGCCTAAACCAGAAAAATATAAAGGCAGTGAAATCTGCATGGAACTTATGTGTCTCTAAAGTCTTTTCTACCTAACAGTTTTTTAAAAAAAATGCTAAACATGTATAACATTTAAACAATTCTCACTAGAAGATCATTAATCCACTTCAGTAAAACACACACACAGCCCTGGTCAGGTGGCTCAGTTGGTTGGAGTGTCATCCCACACACCAAAAGGCTGTGTGTTTGATTCCCTGTCAGGGCACATACCTAGGTTTCGGATTTAATCCCAGGTCGGGGTGTGTGCGTGAGGCAACCAATCGATCTCTCTCTCTCACATCAATGTTTCTGTCTCTCTCTCTCTCCCTTCCTCTCTCTCTAAAAATCAGTGGAAACATATCCTTAGCTGAGGATTAAAATAAAATTTAAAAAATTCAAAAATAACACACACATTTACCACTCTTCAACCTGGTAAAGATGGGCCAAAAAAGGACAAAATTGTTTTTTAGTATAACATATAATGTTTCTCTCAAAAGCAATCAACAAATACTTTAACTAAAAAGACAGTAGTAGTACTTTATCAAATATCCTGAAACGTAATCCTTAATATGAACACCAACTCCCTAGCGTGCACTATTTTTTAATGTGACAAAGTGTTCCCTACATGATATACACCTTGGGAAAAAGTATAACTAATAAAATTTTTTTTGCTTCAAATCAATGATGAACACTCCTCAACTTACCAACGAGCTGCACTCCAAAGGTTCAGCTTTGTAACCAGGTTGTATGGAATCCAGAACAAACAAATCAGTGGTGCTTAACTTAGGTTCTGAGGCTAGCCCACAGAAGTCCATTGAATTGCTAATACAGGGGTGGGCAAAAGTAGGTTTACAGTTGTGTTCGCAAAAACAGTTTATTCTTTATTATTTATTATTTGTCTTCTTTTTAAAATAATTATTTTGTAATCTTATTTATGATTTTTCTTTTAGGTAATGATGGCTGGTAATTTAACCTACTTTTGCCCACCCCTGTATATTGGATGCGCCAAATTAAGTCTACCTTAACAAATGTAACTATTAACTAAAACAATGTTTCTGAGGGACCATGTAGGGGCACCAGATACTTCTCTCTCTCGCTCTCTCCCCCTCTCTCGGGCACTCAACAGTGGTAGGTTCTTACTTCTAGCCGCACAGCCAGGAGGTGGATACCGACTAACATCCAGGGGATAAAGGTCCCAAAAGCCATTAAGTTCTCAACTCCTTGCACATTTACAGAAAAAGCCTTTCCTAATTTATTCCTAGGTTTGTTTTTTGTTTTTTTGCTGTCAGATGCAAAAATGGGGAAGGAGATAAGAAGAGTCCTGGATACACTGATCTAATTTACTTAAGATGTCATTTGTTTACACAAGTTGTTTATAATCTGAGAGCTACTTATGAAACAGTCCAAAAGTACAGATAAATTCTTCAGTTTGAAAGACCTGAACATCTTAAGAAAAAGTTTAGTAAGTAACAGGACATGCTAAATAAATGCCAAGTTTACTCACTCAGCTGCGTCTTTTTTCTCCTCTTTATCATCTTTCTCTTGTTTACATCCTGGACTGGACGTCTGAACCCCTTGGGATGTGACCTCAGGGCCCCTCTTGTGCTCCGCGTTCCCGAGGACTGACGGGGAGATGCTGGGGCTGTCCGGCTTGCTGCTGCCACTGGTGCAATTGCTGCTGCTATTTTCAATGAAAGAATCCTTAGCATTCGGTTCAATTTTGTCTTTGATCAAATCTCTTGATTTTTCTCCCTCTCTATTTTTGTTTAGCAGTTGATCCATAGATTCAGAAGAACTTGGCTGTAACTAAATAAAGAAAATAATTATACTTAAGTATTTTAAGTAACTCTAATAATCAATTTTCTCCATGAGCACAAACTAATATTATTTGTAAGCATGAAATACATTGAATAAGGCTTTTTCATACTTTAAGATTAATGTCATTAGCCTGCCTGGTGTGGCTTAGTGGACCAAGCATCATCCCATGGACTGAGAGGTCCTGGATTGAGTCCCATTCAGGGCACATGCCCAGGTTGCAGGCATGATCCCCAGTAGGAGGTGTGCAGGAGGTAGATCAATGTTTCTCTCTCACATTGATGTTTCCATCTCTCTCTCCCTCTCTCTCTCTAAACTATCAATTAAAAATATATATATATATTTAAAAAATAGGCCCTGGCTGGTTTTGCTCAGCAGTTAGAGTATCAGCCTGTAGACCAGACAGTCTTGGGTTTGGTTTCCACTAAGGGCACGTACCTCCATTGTGGCTCGTCCCCAGCCCCGGTTGGGGTCATGTGGGTGGCAACCAGTTAATGCCCCATTCCCCTCCCCAGCTCTATCTGAAGATAAATGCAAAAAAAAAGTCCTCGGGTGAAGATAAAAAAGAAAAAAACAGCCTTGGTCAGTTTAGCTCAGCGGTTAGAGCATCAGCCCATGGACCAGAGTCGCAGGTTCGATTTAGTCAAGGGCACATGCCTCGGTTGCGATTCGATCCCTGGCCCTGGCTGGGATCGTGTGAGGCAACCAGTGATGTGTTTCTCTCATATCAATGTTTCTCTCTCTCTCCCACTCTATCTGAAAATCAATGGAAAAATATCCTCCATTGAGGATTAAAATAAATAAAAAAAATTAAAAAAAAAAAATAGTAATGTCTTTATTATAAGGCAGTAACAAAATATCTATACAACACAACTATAGTCATCTACACACTCAAATGTCCTAACCTCAAAAGTTAAATATTTACTGACTGCCTACCAAGTGTCAGAAATTGTGCCTGCTGGGTATGGAAAATATTAAATAGTACCTTCCCAAAGCTTACATTTGGGTGAGATCAGACACTTAATGAAATACAGTGAATTCTGTGGGATCCCACAGGAAAAGCAACTTATGAAAAAGAAAGAGAAGGTTTCTCAATAGAAGTGTCGCAGTCCAAAGTGTGAAAGATATTTGAGAGAGATGGGAAGTTTGCAAAAGGGAATGGTCTATGCAAAAGAAATGGCATGTTTAAAAATTCAGGGGAGCCCTGGCCGGTTTGGCTCAGCGGTTAGAGCGTCGGCCTGCGGTCCCGAGAGACCCAGGTTCGGTTCCTGCTAAGGTCATGTACCTCGGTTGCAGTTTGTCCCCGGCCCTGGTTGGGTCGTGTGGGTGGCAACCACTCGACATGTCCCTTTCACGTCAATGTTTCTCTCTCTCTCTCCCTCCCACACTCTATCTGAACAAAAAATAGAAAAAATGTCCTCGGGTGAGGATTTAAAAAAAAAAAAAAATTCAGGGGAACCCAGCCAGTGTGACTCAGTGGCTTGAGCATTGTCCCAGGGACTGAGAAGTCCCAGTTCGATGCCCAGGTTGCAGGCTTGAACCCCAGTAGGCTGCGTATGGGAGGCAGCCAATCGATGTTTCTCTCTCACATCAATATTTCTCTCTCTCTCTCTCCCTTCCTCTTTCTGAAAAATCAATAAGAACACATTAAAGTCCAGTCAGTGTGGCTCAGTGCATGGAGTGTCGCCCCATGGACTGAGAATTCCCAGTTTGATTCCTGGTCAGGGCACATGCCTGGTGTTGCAGGCTCAATCCCCAGTAGGGGGTGTGCAGAAGGCAGCCAATCAATGTTCCTATCACATCGATATTTCTTTTTCCTTCCTCGAAAACAAAAACAAAACCATAAAAACATTTAAAAATATTTTAGGGGAAAGGGAAAAGACGGCCTCATTGTGAAATAGAAAAACACTTGTGGCTGGAACAAGGGTGGGCACATTTGCAAGAGTCAAGAAATGACAAATTCACTCAAGAAGAACAAGAAGATAAAGTAACTTGAAAGCTATTTTAAGAACTCTAGCTTTTAATTCTCAGGATATTGAGAAGTCACTGAAGAATTTTAAGCAGGTTACAGTGTTGAACAGAATTGATAGTTCAAAAAGATGAGCACAGCAGCTTTGTGGAAAATGAACTGGAGGGAAGCAAGGGGGAATGTAGAGGCACCATTATGGAGGCTGGACTAAAACCAGGGCCTGGCCTTGGGAAGCAATGGCTTAACAAGTCAGAAGTAGGTGGATTCTGAGGGAGGCTTGACTAGACATGTTGGTCCTTAATATACCTTAACAGACCTTCCAACCCATAAATAAACAAGGAGACCACAAAACACAAGTACCAACCAGCAAGAAGAATAGAAGTCAAAAAGATATTAGTGAAATAAGTGATGGGGTTTTTAAGTTTGCAGAACAGAGGAAATCAATGCTACTCCTGTCTGAAGATGATTTAAGATGCCACACTCCACACAAGAAAACGGGAACAGCTGAAGAAAAGAGAAGGAAAAGGGCAGCAAGTAATAGTCAAGGTGGAAATGAGAACAAATACCAGCAGCAGTCCTTGGTGGCTGCGAAGCAGAAGGGGCTGTAAGGTTGGAGAGAGATAAACTATATGCTCAGTCTAAGAATGAGCAAACCCATGTCAAAGTCTCACTACAGGGGGCTCTTGGCATTCTGGCAAGCAGCATTATGTACCTAAGGGATATCTCAAGCTTCACTGCATCACCAATGTAGTAGAGGGCAAAAAGTGATAGCACATTTATTTGGACCCAATAACAATTTAAGACACAATATAGACACTTAATTTTTAAGCCAGAATTTGTTCATAGAAGTCTTTAGTAGTGGCTACACAGACCAACTGTGTACTAAAGAAGACTTCTCTAGTGTTTATTAGAAGGGTCTCTGAATAAGGCAAAAATGAAATCTTTGTTGTTGTTATTCATATAAAGGTATATAAATATATCTATAGAACTCACTATGTGCTGGACACTGTTCTAAGCTACCTATAAACTTATTCAGTAACAACAGCCTTATTTGATATAGATACTATTATTGTCATTTTACAAATAGGAAAACTAAGGCACAATTAATTCATGCTTTTTAGCATTCAGCCATAATCCAATTAGCAGTACACTGAACCTAAGGGAAACCAGAGATTCTCCATCCTTCCAAATAGGACCACTTCTTAAAAATTAAGGACCACTTTTTTTTTTTTTTTTTTATTCTCACCCGAGGAAATTTTTTTTCCATTTTTTGTTCAGATAGAGTGGGAGGGAAATAGAGAGGGAGAAACATCGATGTGAAAGGGACACACTGAGTGGTTGCCACCCATACGACCCAACCAGGGCCTGGGACAAACTACAACCTTAGTGGAAACGGAACTTGGGTCTCTCTGGACCACAGGCCGATGCTCTAATTGCCGAGCCAAACTGGCCAGGACAAGGACCACTTTTAAAAATTAAGATATAACTGATATAGCATTGTATTAGTTTCAGATGTACAACATAATGATCCATCGTATTAGGAAATAATCATAGTATGTCTATTTAATAGCTATCACCCACAGTTATAATTTTTTTATTATGATGAGAACTTTTCAGGTCTACTCTCTTAGCAACTTTCAAATATATAATACAGTGGTATTGAATATAACAACCATGGTGTATATCGCATCCCCGTGATTTCTCTATTTTATAACTAGAAGTTTGTACCCTTAGACCACTTTCATCAATTTCGCCAACTCCTGCCTTTGGCAACCACCAATCTATTTTTATAAGTTTGGGCTTTGTTTTTTTTTTTAAGATTCCACATACAAGTGAGATCAGATGGTATTTGTCTTTGTCTTATTTCACTTATCACAATGCCCTCAAGGTCCATCCACATTGTCATAAACGGCAGCATTTCCTCCTTATTATGGCTGAATAATGTTCCATTGTGTGTATGTGTGCATGCACACGCACACACACACTCACACTCACTCACTCTTTCTCCATCCATCCATCCATCCATCCATCCATCAATAGATACCTATGCTGCTTCCATTTCTTGGCTATTATAAATAATGTTGTAATGAACATGAGGTGTAGATATTTTCAACTTAGTGTTTTTGTTTCCTTTGGATAAATATCCAAAAGTGGAATTTCTGGATCACATGGTAGTTCTATTTTTAATTTTTTGAGGAACCTCCATACTGTTTTCCATAGTGGCTGCATCAATTTACAGTCCCATCAGGGGTACACAAGGATTCCCTTTTCACACATCCTGGGCAGCACTTGTTATTTTTTGTCGTTTTGGTAATAGCCATTCTAACAGGTATGTAGTTTTGATTTACATCTCCCTGATGATTAGTGATGGTGAGCACCTATTCATGGATGTTAGATATCTGTCTGTATGTCTTCTCTGGAAAAATTTCTATTTAGACCCTATGCCCATTTTACAACTAGAATTTTTTTTTTTTTTTTTGCTATTGACTTATGTAAGTTTTTTTTTCTTTTAATTAATTTATTTTTGTTACAGATGTTTCCCCTTTTTCACCCACTGATTCCCCTCCCCCCCCCCGGCCCCACCTTTGTTGTCCATGTCCATTGTTCATACATACATGCATAGAAGTTCTGTGGTTTATCTCCCCCCTACCCCGTCTTCAGGGGATTTGTAAGTTCTTTATGTATGTTGGAAATTAATTCCTTAACAGATTTTCAAATATTTTCTCCATTCAGTAGGTTGCCTTTTCATTTTATCAATGGTTACCTTTGTCATGCAGAAGCATTTGTTTAATGTAGTCTTACTTATTTTTGCCTTTGCTTTTGGCTCTCAAGGGAAATTGAAAAAAACAAAACAAAACACTGCAGGGTACTCCTATTTCTGTCTCAATGAAAGACCAGATTTTTGTGAACCATCACAGTTCAAGGACATGTGCATGTCATGAGGATAGTTCTGATGCTTCATTCACTGAACAATGCAGTACATGCTATGCATTTAGCTACTGCTCAAAGCACTGCTAGGAGCACAAACACACAGATAGCCATGCCTATCTTTTACCAGCAGTGTGAATCTGGGAAAACTGTTTAACTTATCTTTGCCTCAGGTTCCTTATACACACATGGGGGATAATAACAAGATATACTTCTAAGGGATGTTAGGACAATAAAAAGTTTATCACATAAACAAGCAGGACAGTGTCTGATACATAGAAAATAATAAATGTAAACTAATAACATTTTATCTGTAAAGAATTATTAATAGACTTGATTATTCAGGCCCCAAACAGTAATAAGACTAAAAATCCTAAAGAGATAGTTTTAATGCTGCATCTACCTGCATTTAGGAGTCAAGTATTAAAAGAGATTTACAGAAAGTTGTGAATTGATAATGAGAGCCAAAATATTTCCTGTTAAATGAAGACATTATAAGCTTTTAAAAACACACTAACTCTAATCGAGACAGTGTAATACCGGTATGAAAGATACACATATAGCTCTACAGAGGAGAACTGAGAGTCCAGTAATAAACCTTCACATCTGCAGTGAGTAGATTTTCAACAAGGGTACAAAGACAATTCAATGCAATGTCTTTGTAACAGATGGTGCTGGGACAAGTGATACCAACATGTAAAAGAATGAATTTGGAGCCCTACCTCACACTATATACTCAAAATAATCAGAGCCTTAAGTGAAACTATTACAAGAAAATACAAACAAATCTTTATGACTGGGACATATGCTGTTGGTGGGAGTGCAAAACAGTACAGTTGCTTTGGCAAACAGCCTGAAAGTTTTCTTCAAAAGGTTAAATAAAAACAGTAACCATATGACCAGAAAAATTCCACCCCTAGGCATAAATCCAAGGGAAATGAAAATACACGTCCACACAAAAACCGTACACTTGCCCTGGCTGGTTTGGCTCAGCGGTTAGAGTGTCGGCCTGCGGACCGGAAAGTCCGAAGTTCAGTTCCCTCTAAGGGCACGTACCTTGGTTGCAGTTTGTCCCTGGCCCTGGTTGGGGTCGTGTGGGTGGCAACCAGTCGATGTTTCTCTCTCTCCCTCCCACTCTGTCTGAAGATGAATGAAAAATAATGTCCTCAAGTGAGGATAAAAAACAAAACAAAACTGTACACTTACGGTCACAGCAGTATTACTCATAATAGCAAAAAAAAAAAAAAGGTAGCAATCCAAAGTCACATCAACTGATGAAATGGATACACAATGTGGTCTATCCATACTAGGATCATCCGTAAGAAGGAATGAAGTACTGATAGATGCTCCAACACAAACGAACTTTGAAAACATTATGCTAAATGAAATATGCCAGTCAGAAAAGGCCACATATGATTCCATTCATATAAAATGTCCAGAATAGGAAAATCCACAGAGACAGAAAGTAGATTAGTGGTTGCTTGACCTGGGGAGAATAGGGGTGTTTAACAGCAAAAGAGGAATGACTGCTAAGGGGTATAAGGTTTCTTTCTGGGATGAAGAAACGATTTTAAAATTGAATGTGATGATGGTTGTACAACTCTGAATATACTAAAAATCACTGAATTGTACTCTTTAAAATGGTTAACTGTATAATCCAATTTTACCTCAATAACACAAAAATTTACTAACTCATATGCTTCAAAGCAAAAATATTTCTTTCCTTCATAGCATAATAAACTCAAAGCACTGTACTCTAAGAAGGGACTGAATGATTGGCTGTAAAAAAGAATGCTGAAGAAACAAAAGCAAATGGGCAAGAATACTCTATAGCATGACGTCATTGCTAGCAAATGGAAGATTATGCAAAATAATATCATCTGTTGTTTAGGGAGTTATTCATATGCAGTGAAAAGAAGTGTACATGAACTTGGCCTAGAAATTGTTTAGAGAATTCATATATAATGCAAAAGAAAACGTTATGCCATTAAAAAACATGATGACATGTACAGGAAAAAGCCTTCCCTCTGGCGGGAGGCAGCTGAGGAGGACAAGTGCACAGGGTATCGTCTATTAGCCACATTAGATACTTAACGTCTTGGTCTCGCTACTCTTCAGTGAATAAAGTAATCAAAATAAACATCAAATAATAACTTATGGTAGCTTCTAATGTCAAAACTATATTCCCTTTCATTTTATATCTGTACTGTTCTTATCAAACCTCAGTTACCCTACTTAAAGCATAGGCTAAGACAACTTTAAGAATGCTTAGCTTGCCCTGGTTGGTTTGGCTCAGCGGTTAGAGTGCTGGCCCGCGGTCCAGAGAGACCTGGGTTCGGTTCCCGCTAAGGGCACGTACCTTGGTTGCAGTTTGTCCCTGGCCCTGGCTGGGTCATGTGGGTGGCAACCACTTGATGTGTCCCTTTCACATCGATGTAGATCTCTCTCTCTCTCTCTCTCTCCCCCTCCCTCCCACTCTATCTGAACAAAAAAAATGGAAAAATGTCCTCAGGTGAAGATAAAAAATGCTTAGCTTTCTATACATGCGGTTTGATGTTTGTGGTTATATATAATCCATTTTTATAAACAGATGACATAAAAATTCTTAGCAATGTTTTTAATATTTACTTTTTAAAATTCTTATGCAACACTTACCCTAAAATCATTCTTAAATTTCTTTAAGTCATCAATCTGTTTTCTATGCTCGGAAACAATTGGTGACATACCTGTAAAATTAATAACCATTAGATACAGATTTCTAAATTTAACTTAAAATTCTTTTAGGACGGAATGTTAGAAATGAAAATAAGTTCTATTATCAAAATAATAAAAATGTTAATTATTAATTACAGACTTTGGCATTTGTCAAATTATGCATTTATTTTATCTTTATTGTTGAAAGTATTACAGATGTCTCCCTATTTTCCCCCAGACTCCTTCCCTCCCTGCTCCCAACCTCCTCCTGCTTTCCCCAAACTATTGTCTCTGTCCACTGGTCATGCATATATGCATGTAAGTTCTTTGGTTTATCTCTCTTCCCAACCTCCCCATATCCCTTCCCTCTGAGGTTTGTCAGTCTGTTCCCCACTTCCATGCAAATTATGCATTTAAATATGCACAATATTAAGAAAAAGTGCTGACCAAAAATACTCTACATCAGGCATGAGATTAAACATACTCCTTCCTGTTTCTACAGTTGTACCTAAAGACTTTTTAAAGCTCTAACCTTTATTTTCAACTTTTGGGAAGCTAGGTGATGTCTCATTGGGCTTCATATTTTCTTTATTCCCTGCAGGAGAGTTCTGCCTCTGATCTTGAAGCCTAGAATCCTTAGCTAGAAAATAATTTTTTAAATTCAAAGTTAGAAGTTAGAAAAGTAAAATGAAAAACTATTCAACAATTTTTGTCTCCTAATTTTTTGGAAAAGAATATTTCCATTTAAAGAGACTTTTCTCCTCTGCGGACATATGAAACACCAATAATAAATATATATAAATAAATAAACATAATAATATTTACTACTCAGGAATGGCAACCCTCTTAACAAAAGACATTCAAGAATAACTTATGAAATTAGCAGTATTACTTAAAAAGCTAACTTCATTTACATACAATTTTAAATGTGCACGCAAGTATCTACCTTTGAATAAAACAGATTTTTTTGTATAATGTTCAACCGGTAACACTGCACTGTGCAAACACCGTTATGGAACTGGAAGCCCTTTATTACATACCCTCAACAGATGGGGTGACAGCTCTGTTGGATGCAGGACTGGCAGGCGTAGGAGATGCAGCTGGAACAGGCATAGCAACAGCTTCAGTTGGAATAATACCAGCTTGGGGAGAAGCAAGAACTGGTCCACTAGGAGTATTTCCAATACTGTTTTGTCTGGGAGACCTGGGTCTGTGAGTTTTGGGGGATAATCTTGGAACTAGAAGAAAAAGAAAAGTTATCCATTACATTTTCAGCTCAAATGTCACTTCCTGGCAGAGGCTTCTCTTACGATCGAGGTAAAAACAGTGCTGAGCGCCACTCCCAATTACAGTACTCTTTATCCCTCACCCTGTTTTTCTTTTCCCAAGTCTTAGGAATAGTGGTGATGATTGAGAATATACTAATTCCTAAGTGCGACTAGTTTTTCCTTCTAGCTAAATATATTAATTTTAAAGGCAGTATTTTAAATGAAGTTAGAAACTGGATTTCTAAGGCAAGATAAATGCCACTTAAAAAAAATAAAGATACCAATATTCTATACTAAAAAAAAATAAACGGGTTTCTTTAAAAAAGGTGTGGGGTGGGGGATCCCTACGAAGTTGGTTTATAGATTTCTCCTTCCAGTGATACACTCAAACACCTTTTAGCAGCGTGCAGCCAGTCCTGCATGTTCTTTCATGCCACATCACCATTCACTCTGCAGCAACTAAGGAAACCGGGGCCCCAATTTAGCCAAAAGGGAAAAATAAGTATCTAATAGGTTTCATATTCCATTATAAACCCATTTGTAGAGCCCAGATTCAAAGGTTTAGAGAAAATGGTTCAATTTGATTCACATTAGTGGTTCTTTAAGTCATAAGGGTCATGGAGAAAAAGTCAACATTTGCCATTTTTCTAATTATTATAAACAACCACCTCGTCACTGTTCTGTATGTATTTCTAACATCTATGTTTTTACTCTTTCACTGCTATAATCATTTTTACTCTCAAAATTCATTTCCAGATCATCTGAATTTGTCAAATGATTAATGGTAGAAATGAAAGATTTTTAGAAATTCTATTTTGTTAAGTGAATTTTTATTTCCTTGTAATTAAAGACCAAAGAAGAAAACAAAGTCTAAAGGAGGTCCTGGCTGAGTTAGCTCAATTGGTTAGAGCGTCATCCCAATACACCAAGGCTTCAGGTTTGATTCCTGGTCAGGGCACACACACACGAGTTAACCAGTAAATGCATGAACAAATAAAATAACAAATAGATGTTTCTCTCTCTCTCTCAAAATCAATAAATTAAAAAAAAATAAAGTGCAAAGAAATTTACAATATAATTATACATACACGAAGCTGAACAGTGTATATCACCTGAAGACATTTAACAGAGTTGGGTATATTTTTGTTAAGTTTAAAGATAGATAGATATAGATACACACACATATATTTGTTGTTATTCATCCTCACCCAAGGATACTGTTCCACTGATTTTTAGATAGAGTGTAAAGGAGAGGGGGAGGGAGGGAGAGGGGGCAGGGGGAGAGGGAGAGAGAGAGAAACACAGAGACGGAGAGAAACATCAATGTGAGAGAGAGACATCGACTAGTTGCCTCCCGTCAGGCCAGGTATCGAACCTGCGACCCAGGTATGTGCCCTTGACCAGATTCAAACCTGAGACCCTTCAGTATGCAGACACTCTAACCACTGAGTGAACTGGCCAGGGCAAACAAAGTTATTTTTTTCTTTTAAAGGTTCAATGCACTGATTAAGATAGATTGTGATCACCTGGCCAGTGTGGTTCAGTGGTTGAGCATCAACCCATGCATCAAGAGGTTGTCAGTTCGATTCCTGGTCAAGGTACATGCCCAGGTTGTGGGCCAAATCCCCAGTGGGGAGCATACAGGAGGCGGCCAATCTATGTTCTCTCTCTTCGATATTTCTCTCTCTCCCTTTCTCAAATCAATAAAGAAAAAAAAAAAAAAAAAAGATAAGATTGTGACCAAAAACACAATCACTGCACGCTCTAACTCTCCAAAGTTATCATGGAAGCAAAACCTAAGTAGGAAAGCAGTCTTAGTTTACTTATAAGATCTAGTCAAAGTGTATTTTTTTAATGTTTATCACTGCTGTCAGCACATTCCTCAGGCTAGTTACAGATAAAACTTGGGCCCCTCGTATGTATTTGATATTCCTTATAAGGGAAATATAGCCAGGAATTACTGCCATATACAGATGCTACAGAAACACACAGCACTATTGAGCCCAAAATAAAACGTCTGTAGAATGAATAAAGTTACTAAGAAGATAGGAAATGGGGTCCCTCCAAAAAGTGTTACATTCTGTATTTGACTTATATTTCAGTGGTACTTTAAGTATAAAAAGTATATTCATATTTACAAGTTTCATATGAATCTCATCACAAGTCCATAAAGTAGACTAGGCAAAAATCATTTTACTCACTGAGAACTATGAAATTCAGAACGATCACAAGATTTGCTCTAAAATATGGTGAGAGTAAGTTGTGGAGCCCAGAATAAAAATACACATTTTCTAATTCCTGGTTAATTCATTTTTAATATATACACTTATACTTCCCCAAGCAGCCTGAGCTCAGCCCTTTTTACATTTAGTAGAATTACAAAATGAACACTGTCATTATGCTCTAAGTCAAATGTTACCTACCCCCGCTAACCACTGATGACCATGTGCCGCCCGCAGGACTGGTCCTTGCTGCTGGAGGAACAGCTGCTTCACTTGCTGGAGTGTGGGATACAAATTCTAGGCCACTGGAAATGGAACCCCTCCCAGTAGAAACTCTGTGATTTCGAGGGTGTCGCTGGGCCTTTGGGGACATCCTTGGAGGTCCTAAGAAAGGAACAGTGAACATCACATAAATGCTACAATGTCCATCAGTACAACTTTTCTGCTAAATACACACACCTCATTCGCACATACAGTATCTCACTCTCTCTCTTCCTTGGTTTAAGAAAGGGATGGTAGTGATCCATACATATTTTTGGCCATATTCTTTCAGAATTATTTTGTAGAATGCCACAAAGTTTTACAAACAAATTTCATTTTATTTGTCTTTATTTTCAAAGAAAGGGAGGGATGAAGTTGGTGATAAGAAATCAAACAATAAAATGTCATAATTCTTCCAAGATTTTAGGCATTTCTTTAACCTATAACCATTATTTGTAAGCATATAAAAATAAAGGTAATAAAATGTTAGCAGAAGCTATGGCTACATGACAGAATAAGTTTTATTTTACCATGCACTTTTAGGATTTTCCCTAAAATTTTCTGTATTACTTCTAAAATTACAAAAAGTATTTTAAAACAAAGAATTATTAATCCCTATATATCTCTCTATTATTGAAATGTATGTACATAACCTCCTTAAATTTCTCTAAAACCTTAGTTTATGTAACTCTTCTGCCATGGTGATCAACTTTACAACCCATGCTTTAAACAGTCCTCACCTGTAAGCAGTTCCTCAACTCAACAGGCTATGAGCTGGAAATCCTATTGTTAAGGCATGAACTTCTTTAAAACCAGAATAACTGATATTTGGGTAAGAAATTTATACTATATGAATTATCAAAATTATGCATCATTAATTCTGTCACCCCATTAATGACTTCTATTTCTAAAGACGTCTATTATACTTTCAAACAAAACAGGTAGAAACTGAACAGAATGGCTGACAGAGAAGGCTGACTGTGCCAGCACCTGGAAAAACTCATTCTAGGTCAAAGCCCAAGCTCCTCAACCTCACCTGGCTGCCAAACTTTGTATAAGTCAAATTGATTTGTGTCCTCAGTAGAAATTTAATCATGGATAGAATCTTTAAAACAATGTTAATCTTGCCCTGGCTGGTTTGGCTCAGCGGTTGGAGCGTCAACCAGCGGACCAGAGAGTTCTGGGTTTGGTTCCCGCTAGGGGCACAAACCGAAGAACAAAAACAAAAACAAAACAAAACCAAAACAAACAAACAAACAAAAAACAATGTTAATCTTATATATTACAGTTTTCAATTAGAGACATAATTGATTTATATCAAAGAATGATTTAAGAATGAGTATTTGCATATTTTTACATATTTTTCTACATCTCTTAGCAAAAGACTGAATAAAGTAGGTTGGATAACTCGGTGAAATCAAATTGCAACTTTAAAAAATTCATTCTTGACCTGGCTGGTTTGGCTCAGCGGTTAGAGCGTTGGCCTGCGGTCCAGAGAGACCTGGGTTCGGTTCCCTCTAAGGGCATGTACCTCGGTTGCAGTTTGTCCCCGCCCTTGGTTGGGTCCTGTGGGTGGCAGCCACTCGATGTGTCCCTTTCACGTCGGTTTCTCTCTCTCTCTCTCCCTCCCACTCTATCTGAACAAAATATCAAAAAATGTCCTCAGGTGAAGATAAAAAAAAACGGAACTCATCCTTGCCTGGCTGGTATGGCTCAATGGATTGAGTGTTGTCCCATGGACTGAGAAGTCCTGCTTTGATCCCCAGTCAGGGCACATTCCCGGGTTTTGGGCTGGATTCCCAGTAGGGGGCGTGCTGGAGGCAGTCAATAATCAATGTTTTGCTCTCAATATGGATTTTTTTTTTTTCTCTCTCTCTCTCTCTCCCCTTCCTCTCTAAAAAAAAATCAATTAAAATAATTTTTTTTAATCTTCTTCTTTTTGGTAATACATCAAATACTTACAGAAACAAAATATACTCCCCTCTATTACAGAAAACCACTATATTTAATAGTTTAATTTTGAAGTTCACACTTAAAAAATGCTCCAGTATCACCTAACTAGAAAACATATTACGATTCAAATTAGTTAAAAAGAAACCTTGATGAAGCACCCCTGAATTTGCAGAAGGTATATTCTTGAACATAATTCTGCCTGAATGGTCAGTTCACAAGCAGTCCTTACACTCACTAAAGAGTCCTGTTTTGTCCAACATAAATGTTCTCATAATATGAGCATCACTTATCTAAACAATGGACTGTGACAAATACTTGGACAGAATTTAACTTTTTGTTTAGTGGCCACTATTTTTTTTTTAATCCTCACCCGAGGACATTCAGATAGAGTGGGAGGGAGGGAGGGAGAGAGAGAAAAACATTGACGTGAAAGGGACACATTGAGTGGCTGCCACCCACACGACCCAACCAGGGCCGGGGACAAACTGCAACTGAAGTACGTGTCCTTAGCAGGAACCGGACCCCAGTCTCTCTGGACCGCAGGCCGACACTCTAACCGATGAGCCAAACCGGCCAGGGCATAGTGGCCACTATTACAGGTGCTTAAAGATCAGCACAGTGTGCTGCTGAGGGTTAGCCACTTTAGTCAAGATCACATGAGCTCTGACTGAATGGCAATAATTTATTGAAAAGTAGCCAACATAGTTTTCTCCAGGGAAGCACTTTGTGCTAGAAAATAATATTTATCCCAACAGAAGCTATATCAACGGTAAATTTAATGAACAAATCAGATTAAAACTGTAACACAAATACTTGATCAAAAGGACATTATCATTTAGAAAACAGGTTTTTAATTTATGTACTGCATTTAAGTTAAAATGTGACCTCTGTACAACATATCCATATATTTGATATGTAGCAATGGTGAATTAGGATTTTCTTTTTTTTTTTTTTGACAAGGGCAAAAAAACACACCCAAAAAACCCCTAAAAATTAAGTCATGCCCTGGCCGGTTTGGCTCAGCGGTTGGAGCGTCGGCCCGCGGTACAGAGACCCGGGTTCAGTTCCCGCTAAGGGCGCGTACCTCGGTTGCAGTTTGTCCCCGGCCCTGGTTGGTCGTGAGGGTGGCAGCCACTCGATGTGTCCCTTTCACGTCGATGTTTCTCTCTCTCTCTTCCTCTCTCTCCCTCCCGCTCTATCTGAACAAAAAATGGAAAAATGTCCTCAGGTGAGGATAAAAAAATAAAAATAAAAAATAAAAATTAAAAGTCATAAGTGGTTTTTATTAACAATTTTATCTTAGATCAAGAACTTCTTCCAGATTCAAGTAGACTTTCATTATAAAATATTGCAAAGCTAATTTTTTAAATTCCTCAGACATAAAACCGAACAATATTGTAATCTAAGGGTTGACACACAAAGGCAGCTACATGGAATGTCCCTCTCAGAAAGTATCCCTAAATCACCACTCTTGCCTACGACCAATAGGCAGGTTCACTAGTACCTTGGCCAAGGAGATGTAAAATGATAGGTTCTACAATAAGTCAAGGACTGGGTGAAGAAAGCTCACTATTCACCATGAACCACCGTATACGGTGTAACTGGAAGGGTGAAGATCTGGGGCAAACCTTCTGGGCTGTAAAGGAGCATCATTACCAGGCAGAGAGAAACCCCATTCTTACAATTCAGGACAGTCCATAGCTTCACACAGCATTTTATCAAATTTCTCTCTAACGAACAAAAGGTTAATAGAAATAGTTTTAATAAACTAAAGTTAAAACACGGAAATTATAGGTTATCAAATAATGAAGAGGAAACTTTTCTAATTATAAACTCACATAGGAGTTAAACAAAGACAAACAAAAACATGAACAAATTGTGGTATTGTACCTTCTGAAGACATGCGTTTAGGCATAGTAGAGACAGGAGCTGGAGAACCATGAGCAGAGGGGTGAGACGGGGGTCTGGATGGCCGCGAGGGGGGCCTGGAGGGCGGCCGTGTAGGGGTGGCTGCCCGAGGTGGAAGAGAGTTGGGACCTGACTGGTAGCGAGAAGGTGGGCGGGAGGAAGGAGATGGGCAAGGCGATGGCCAGGGAACACCTGACAGAACAAATGATATGAAGGAAAGTATAAAAACTAAAGAAAAAAATGAGGGAAAAAAGTAAACAGAAAAAAAAGTAAAATGACAAAAATGATTTCTTGTACATTTTAACCCTTTGAGGACAGTCATTTGATTTGTGATAAGTTTTAGCATAACTTAAACTGACATAAATTCACATTTTACTTTAACCTGCTTAAAATTAAGTCTGTATAAATGAATACACGTTCCCAAAGGGTTAATTAGGATCTACACATACTACTGAAGAAGACAGTTAAGACTTTACCTATCAATCCTACTTCTGTAACTTTCTCAGTAATCAATAAATAAAAGAAATATTAATATATACTAGATAACTTCACACAATAAATCACAAAACTTGGGAATAAGATTTACATTAGTTTTAGCTTTTAAAACATGATGAAAATAAGCATCAGCTATAAAATCCCATTTAAAATGCAGGTTTCTCATAACCATTTGTGATTTTCTTCCAGTTTATACTTGAACGTTAGGTTCAGTCTGAAATCTCATTACAAGTTCAAGTAGAAATAAAACATTACTTCTACTATTTTCTAGAGTCACAGGAGTGACAAACGTTAATACTGATTGCCTTAAAAAAATTTTTTTATTCTTATCAAATTACAAAAGGGGGGGTCTTTTGTATAATTATGCAGTTTTTACTCATCTAAGAGATATTTAACTTTTCTAAATCTAAGAGACTGCTTAATAAGCAATGCAACTACAGAGCAGTCATCACCAAATAAACTGACACTGATGGATATGCACAGGTCAAAATACAGCTCACATGTAAACACAACATATCACTTACCTTAATCTTAGTAAACAGTCCAGGTCTCCTCTCCATAGGCTGCCACACACTTGAGTATCATACACTTCCCAACCCCCTTCCAGTATTTTACTTTGAAAATTCTGTTCATGAACAACTGAAATTCTTTACTCAATGAGTAAAGAAATGTCACCCCCAATACAAAGTCTACAAAATACTCAAGAGTGTTCATTTGGAGAGGAACTCTGGAGAAAGACTCAATGAAAACAAATGAAATTGGAAACTTAGTGTTCTCTATTTTTCCTCCTAAATTCGCAAACTTAAATACCTAAAATTGATTGCTCACTTTCTCCCCCCTCCAGTTAGTAACGTACTATATCACTATTATTAATTACAGTATTTCCATACTGTCTAGCTATCAGACTTAGATGAAAGATCCATGACCTATGAGCTATATTCAATCCAGACTTAGAGGAAGAGTAGAAAAAAAATCTTCCTACTAAAGATGCAAGTTTCTTTTACTTTACTTAAGCAAAAGTGCAACAGCCACCTTTACACTAAGAGTTTTTTTTATTGTTTTAAAAGCACATTTCATTCTTCACTTTCTTCACATAACTCTTGGTCATGTCTTGGTTAACAAGTCACCTCAAATCCTTTCTTGAAGCAAGCAGAATATAAATATATAAGCAAACAGTAAATTAATCTATATTAACCACTCACCCAGAATAAGATTTTCCATTTAAATTTTGTGTAAATAATTTTACTATCCGGTGTTTTTTAAATTGAGAACCTACCCAAAGTTTCCAATTTCTTTTATGTGTGGAGTGTTTTTGGCCAAGGGAATTCTTTAGTTAAATTTAGCACTTTCTCTTAATACATGAGAATTTTTCATCATGCTATATATGTTCAAATGATTTATACTAATTTTTACTAATCTGATATCCACCAAGGTAAATTTAAATAACTTTTTGAAAACTACTCCACAGAAATCATTAAAGGTGTGCATTCTTATAATTACGTAAACATTTAGAAAGCTATATACTTGATCAATAACTTTGATAGATTTGGTCAAAATACTTGCCTCCATTAACTACTCTTTGGTCTGAACCAGAATTCGGGTTGAAATCTGAAGTGTGAGAGGTGGATCTTGATGGCATGGAGCTCGATCCAGGCTGGCCCATACGTGGTGAATTCTGCCTCCCACTTCCCCAGGATATGACTTCTCTATTTCTTTGTCCAGGAGGAATATATTTATTTTCCCTGAAAAGGAGAGATCTTCTAAATTATTTTATCCTAACAGATATCAGGCCAATGAAACAAACCTAAAAGTAATTTAGGCAGAAGGAATTGTTTTTTTCATAAAAAGGTTAAACACGAAACCAAAGTGTCTCAACCCCAGACAACCCTTTTCTCCCACTGAACCCGAGTCCCAGCCTCTGGCCTTTCTTTTCCCGCAGATTCTCCCTCCTGAGCACGAAGTTTAACTGATGTGCATTCATTCTAATCTACTTGGCTTCTTTATGGCTGATTATATTAATCACAGTCTATCTTCTTGAAACTTTCTTCTTCCTGAGCTTCCTCTTTGTCTTCTCTGAGATCTCTTCTCTCTGTGCCTATGCATGGTTTTTCATAGCTTAAATATCAATAACGCTGATGAATCCCAAATCCTCACCGCCAGTCCCAGTGTCAACATCTCCCACTGAAAACTTTAATTCAAATCACCAGACTCTCAGCTATGAGATACTTGAAATAGGATGTATATCTTATGCTACCAGGTATATAGGAGGTGCTTTCCAACACATTTGCGAATAAATGAATGAAAGACCTGTGAGGCCCTCAAATGCAATAAATTACACAAACGGACTCGCTGTATCTCCCCCTCAAACTTGCTCCATTTCTATCTCCAGTACAACCACAAGTCCGCTTAGTTATCAAATAAACCTCAGGATCACCCCGGGTCTTTCTAACCTTTCTATTGCTAGTCCTGGTCTGGCTAGTTTTCAAGTTCTCACACTTTAACTATTTCAAAACACTAACTGGTCTCCATGTCCCAGAGATCCTTCACACCATCCCCTGCCTACAAGGTGCTGTTGTAACGTGACATTTGAAGTCCTGTACTACCTCAGCTCCTATCACCAGCGGCCACCACTGCACTCTCTACACTCACCCTGTATTCCAGGCACGTGACGCAACCAGCCTTTTCCTCGGCTGGCTGGTTCTTTCACGTGTCTTTTCACCATGTGAGGAATTCTCTCTCGTTTCTCTTTGAGTGGTAGACAGATCTACTACACTATCACAAAACATCACTGCCGCTGACCCTGCAGGTTATGCTACTTCCTCCTCACTGTGCATGTTCGTGGTGCTTTGAACACACATCTGATCTCAATGAGCTCTTCCAGTTCTGGGCTCACTAACTGGGTATATCCAACACTTGGCAACACAGAACTGGCGCTCTACAAATATTTTCTCTAACAGAACCTTAAACCAATTCTATTTGCATTTTCTACCTAAGCTACATTAAAGGAAGATGAAATAAATAATACAACTTCTCACACAGACCTTGAATTGTGTATCCAAAACACTGCATCATGATTCCCTTTAAATACCTAGTGTTTATGCTGTGACCCTCACGTTCGCTGGAATTTCTCTGAACTGCTGTGTATTTTTCTTCTTCACTCCTATCATCATTTTCCAGGGCCACCCGTGCTTTGTACTGGGCACTTGATTCAATTTCTTCTGCTAATTGGTTTGCTCTTGCTTCTCGTTTTAAAAATTCTTCCGAATTATCTCTTTCTAAGGGCACCCTATGACATAAGGAAAAGAAAAAGCCAACTGAGTATTTTAAAGCCATAGTTTTTATATATGTCACAATCAACTATTAAGGGAATTTAGAGTTTAAAATGCTAGTAAAACTGTAAGAGAGTTGCGGTGATCTATTTATTTGTAAATCAAAATTTGAATTATATTGTTACCCAATCCCTAGAGGAATACAGTATTTATACAACTGGTTATATTGACTATTCCCCCATAACTTCTACACTTGCAAATTAGTTTTTACAACTTAAAAACAAAAAAATAAAATTTGCTTAAAGCATAATTTAGAGTATAGGTAAACTACATGTTTTAATGGGAATTTATCATTTCAGTAGTAACAGGATAATGCTTTCACAGAATTGTTTAATTTAAAATCCAACAGAATATGTATTCAACATCACAAATTTAAGTTGATGACAAAGACAAATGCACTCAAATAAAAGCAAACTTTTTAAACTTACGTATATGAAGATAAACTGCTATCATATGTAGACACTACACCATAATTTTCTTCATTATATCGAAACATATCATTGGGATCCCATCCATTAGACTAGAAGAAAATGAAGCTCATTTTTCAAAATGACAAAGTATTTGTCTTCTTTAACTCAGTTATAATCAATATCTGCATTAACAATATCTACCTTACTATACTAGCACAATCTAACAAATTAAAAAAAACAGGCAAATTTTTCCTTTAGAAATGTTTTCAGAAAAAAATTGTCTTCTGTATCAGGCCCTACAAGTTGGTAAATAACTATATAAAACAATTATTTGAGAGGTTATTAGTAAACGTTTAGAACATACCAGTTACTTCATGAAATATGAGCCCTTAGGTCAGGATTCACTCCTCTCCCTACCCAAATAGCCACCATCTTTCTGCAGGGCATTCACTGGAAACCTCGAGTGGACGACTGTCGGCTCTGCAAGGCAGAGGCCCTCCGGCAGCCACAACCAGTGTCGGAGTTTCGGGAGAGGAAAGGGGAAGCGCTACCTGCTGTCGCCCTGCTTCGAGGTGGGGCAGCGCACTCGCCCTGCCATCCTCCCCATTCTCCTGGGCATGCTCGAAGAGAACGCGGCATGACAGAGTGAGCAGGCGGTCATCAGAAAGGTCACAAGAGCTAGGCTTAATAGCTGGCTTTGCCGTTACTAGCTGTGGGTCTTCAACAATGAAATTCTAGGTCTTGGTAACCCTAACCTGTAAACTCAGTGTAGATACCTCTGAGAAAACTACCATTCTCAAAAGCTAAGCTCCATTTTTATAAAGTTTTTTATTTATTAAGAGAAAAATATGGATTTGTTGTTCTACTTATTTATGCATTTATTGGTTTATTCTTATATGTGCCCTGACCGGGGATCGAACCTGCAACCTTGGCATACTGGGTCAATGCTCTAAGCAAGTACACAGCCCTACTAGAGCTAACCTACATTTTTTAATCTGTTAAGAATCAATCAGTCAGGGGAGAGGCAGGAAGAATCTTCACTGGTGAATATTAATGTCTGGGTAATGGTTTTTCTATTGTTTCAACTCACCTTTTAAAACCTGACTGGTAGAAAGGGCCAAAAGATAGTACATAACCGTTACCAATCTCAGAAGAGAGAACACAGAATCATTCAAGCAATGTTGATGGCAACTTCACTAAAGCTTGCCTCTAAGGTCACCTATTAACCTTGGGTCCTTCTGTGCTATTCCAGATAAAACTATAATGTAATTCTACCAGTAAAGCAACTCCTTAGGCCTAACACATGGACAGAAACCTATGAAGGCTTTAAAATTACTGAAGTAGTATACACTCCCTATAAAGTCTAAACCATGCAGAGAAACAGCCAATAAAAAGAAAATGTCTTCTGTCCGGCCAGTGTGGCTCAGTGGCTGAGCATCGACCCATGCACCAAGAGGTCACCCGTTCGATTCCCGGTCAGGACATATGCCCAGGTTGCGGCCCGATCCCCAGTGGGGGCATGCAGGAGGTGGCCAATCGATGTTCTCTCTCATAGATGTGTCTCTCTCTCTCTCTCCTTCTCCCTTCCTCTCTCTGTAAAATCAATAAAGAAAAAAAAAGTAAAGTAAAAAAAAAGTAAATGTCTTCTGCCTGGATGGTGTGGCTCAGTAGAATGAGTGTTGTCCCATGGACTGAGAGGTCCTGTATGATTCCTGGTCAGGACACATGCCCGGGTAAACATCTTCTAATCCAAGTGTGCATAATCACTACTAACAACTTCTTGGGCATAATCCAGACAGTCTCTATGAACATATAAAAATATAATTAGCGCCCTGGCCAGTGTGGCTTAGTGGTTAGAGCGTCGGCCTGTGGTCCAGAGAGACCCGGGTTCGGTTCCCGCTAAGGGCGCGTACCTCGGTTGCAGTTTGTCCCCGGCCCTGGTTGGGTTGGGTGGGTGTCAGTCACTTGATGTGTCTCTTTCACGTCGAATGTCTCTCTCTCTCCCTACCACTCTATCTGAACAAAAAATGGAAAAATGTCCTCAGGTAGGATAAAAAAACACACACACACACACACAAATGGCTTTCTTTTTAAAAAAATTCAAATAGAATCTTCTTGTTCTGCAACTCGCATTTTCTTTTATGAAGCCTTACAGATCTTTCCATATCAAAATACCATTCTTTTAGTGGACATATAGTATTTCAATTGAATGAAGAAGGTACAATAGACTTCGGGTCAAGATGGCAGCATAGGTAAATGCGGTATTGCTTCCTCCCACGACCTCATCAAAATTACAACTAAACTACAGAACAACCATCATTCAGAACAGCCTGAAATCGAGCTGAATGGAAGTCCTACAACTACAAAATTAAAGCAGCAGCACACGAGACTGGTAGGAGGGGCGGAGGCAGACGGGCTGGTCCCAAGTGTGGGGGATAAAAAGCACAAGGATACCTTGGCTGGGAAGGTCCTCCCTAAGGACTGAGTGGTCCCTGTCCCACACCAGGTGCCCTGCTCAGGTTCCAGTGCCAGGAAAATCCCTATCACTTCTGGCTGGAAAAACCAGCGGGAACTGAGGCTCAGGGAGGCTGAGGCGGCTGGAGCACCAGGCAGCTCCTTAAAGGGCCTGCGCACAGACTTATCAGACTCACTCCCTCTAAGCTTGGAGGGGAGGCAGCTCGAGGGGCACCAGAGACATACAGGGAAGAACTGAGCTGTTTGGCACTGGAGGGAGGGCTGGAGAGGGGGCTTTCTCCTGGACAAACGTGCTGCCAGAGGCCTTTGTTCCTTTGGTGAGCCCTTCCCTGGGGCGGCAGACAGCTGCCATATCTGGGACTCCAGCAACCTGGCTCACACTGGTAGCCCCGCCCTGGTGATTCCCTGAGGCCCCGCCCCACCCAACTTTCAGGCCCACCCAAGCTGTTGCCAGTTACTTAACCATAGGATTGGCCTGTCTTGGATCCTGCTTCAGGTTTTCCTAAATTCTTTCAAACAAGCAGCATCTGGTCTCAGCTAGCCCCCTACCTCTCAGTTAAGTAATACATAGAAACAAACACAGGGTGGCAGCCAAAATGAGGAGAAAAAGAAACAGGTCCCAAATAAAAGAACAGAACAAAACCCCAGGAAAAGGACTAAGCAAAATGGAGATAAGCAACCTAACAGATGCTGAGTTCAAAATACTGCTTATAAAGATGCTCAATGAACTTAGTGAGAACCTCAGCAAACTTAGGGAGGGCCTTAAGAGCATAAAAAAGGACCAGTCAGAAATGAAGGAGGCACTAACTGAAATAAAAATAATTTACACAGATTCAATAGTAGAGTAGGTAAGGCCAAGAAGCAAACCATCGATTTGGAATATAAGGAAGCAAAAAACACCCAATCAGAACAGCAAAAAGAAAAAAAGAATTAAAAAAAAAAATGAGGATAGTGTAAGGAGCCTCTGGGACAACTTCAAGCATGCCAACATTCGCATCTTGGGGGTGCCAGAAGGAGAAGAGAGAGAACAAGAAATCAAAAACCTATTTGAAACAATAATGGCAGAAAACTTCCCTAACTTGGTGAAGGAAATAGACATACACATCCAGGAAGCACAGAGAGTCCCAAACAAGATGAACCCCAAGAGGGCCACACCAAGACACACCATCATCAAAATGCAAAAGGTTCAAGACAAAGAAAGAATCTTAAAAGCAGCAAGAGAAAAGCAGTTACCTACAAGGGAGTTCCCATTAGACTGTCAGCTGATTTCTCAAAAAACACTTTGCAAGCCAGAAGGGAGTGGCAAGAAATATTCAGAGTGATAAAGCAAGAACCTACAACCAAGATTACTCTATCCTGCAAAGATGTCATTTGGAATTGATGGTCATATAAAGAGTTTCCCAGACAAGGAAAAGCTAAAGGAGTTCATCACCACCAAACATTATATGAAATGTTGAAGGGTCTTCTTGAAGATAAAAAATATGAACAAACAAAATGGCAATGAATACACAGCTATCAACAACTGAATCCACAAAATGAGCAAGCAGAACAGAAACATTCTCATAGATACAGAGAACATTTTGTTGGTTGCCAGATGGGAGGGGGGTTGGGGGAATGGGTGAAAAAGGTGAAGGGATTGGTTGCTAGACTGACAAACCTCAAAGGGAAGGGGGGTTGGGGGGTGGGAAGAAATAAACCAAAGAACTTATATGCATATATGCATAACCAATGAACACAGACAACAGCATGGGCAAAGGTGGGGGGGGGGGAAGGAGGGGGCTCAATGGGGGAAAAATGAGGAACATCTGTAATACATTCAACAATAAAGATATAATTTAAAAAAATGAAGGTACAATATATCTACCCAATCGACACCCTAGATAGTAAGGATGTAGCCAATATTTCACTACCAGAAATGGCTACAAAAAAATCCTCATACATAATTACATTCATGTCTTATGAATATATTAGGGCAAAAATAAATTCTCAGAGGTAGAATTGCTAGATCAAAGTGTATGTGTATTTTAAATTTTGATAAGATATTGCAAGAATGCTCTCTAGAAAGCCTTTATCTTGTTTCTGCCTCACTATCACTAAAATGTGTACCTGCTGCTCTATGTCCTCCACACAGGTGATGTGCTGCACAGACCTAAGAACCTTCATGTTAGGTTATATGATTCTTTAAAGTGTGAAAATTAGTAGTGATGTGTTGCCTATATATTTCCAAATAATGATGTGTTTTCTTTGTATTTATAAGTAAACAATGACTTAAAGATAAAACACAAATTAGTTTATTTTTTTTTAAATATTTTTACTGATTTTTTTTAGATACAGGAAGGGAGAGGGGGAGAGAGAGAGAAACATCAATTGGCTGCCTCCTGCATGACCCATACTGGGGATCGAGCCCACAACCTGGGCATTTGCCCTGGCAGGTCACTGAACTGGCGGCCTCTCAGTGTATGGGGCAACTCAATCCACTGAGCCACACCGGTCAGGCCAGATCTGTTATAAAGACATTTCTGTAATGTTAAAAGGAAGATTCTTCATTGAATTCAAATTTTTCTAAACACTAATTTTTGGCAAGAAACTTTGCTTTCTATTTCTACAGTTTAGGAAATTTATTTACAGAATCCTAAGATAGTTTTTATTAAGCATTTGATTTATAGATGATATGTTACAGGAAAAGTAAAAATATTTGCCAAGAGGCTTTTTTATAAATAGATTTTTGTGTAGAACAATCTAACTTAGAGAAATTTACTTGTTGCTTTAATTCTAATACCTAACTACATGCCTTAATAATTAGTACTACTTCTTCAGACAAGCCTAAAAGTAATACTCTGACCTCACCTAAAGTCAACAGATAATTAAGATACCATATACCACTTGCTTTGGGCTGCCTCATTGGGGCAGAGCACTCAAAGCAAAATATACTAGCATTTCCCGTTTCCCATGCGTTAAAATTTTAAGTTGTTTATTATGACTTACTTTAAAAACATAGAATAATTCATAAGCATCACAAAGAAACATATTTCTGTATTTACTCCCCTAGGGTGGGGGTAGGATACAGACAGCAGTCTATATTTACACAATAAAACTGCTGCTTTAAATATACTTACAACAACAACATACTTAAATTAAAACCAAGTGACGAGATGTTATACCACGTCATATGGTCATCGTCTGATACTAATCCAAAGATTTTACTTACGACGTCATTTTCCAAAGCTTCTAGTTCCTCATTGGTAGTGAGTTCACCTGCATCCCAGGGCTCCAGGTCCTTCTCTTTGTGTTCACCATTCACTTTAGCACTGATAGCAGAGTCAGTAAAAGCATCTGCAAAGGATGTTTTTGGTTGAAAGATCATACAACCACCAGACAATGGATCATACTATACACACATAGATGTATGTTAAAAAGTAATTATGAAAAGGGAATTTCTAATACAGAAGGAGTAACACTCATTAATGGTTTGCTTTCAGATGTCTAATGCTTCTAATACTATAACCTTCAAAAACTTAATTGGCATCATAGATAATTATTAACAAAGATGTTTTCCTATATAATTTTAAGCCACATGAAATGTTTTCATGTGTTCACAAGTCATTAAACTACATGAAAAATAATTACTTTGTGTTTTAGAAGTAATCTAGAAAATTTCTATCTATCCACCTAAAATAAGATCTCTTTTGTTTAACAAACATAGAAATTAGAGATACCCACAGAGCTCCTGGAGCCAAACATGGCAAGATTTTTTAACTTTTTGAACCTATGTCTATATGATATGCACACATTAGTATCCTAACATACTCTTACCATTAGTAACTAAAGCTATTATAAGTGACCCATCCCTTCACAGAACCCATTTTTCCCTACAGCTACTCTGTTACAAGTTCAGGCCCTAGAGTGTTACCTGTTCCCAGAAGGGTCACATGACAGGCCTATCTGAATTTCCTACCAATTCTTTCTCACCTGTGTCCTCATCCCTGCTGCTGATGTTACTAAGGAGCACTAGCTGGTGAATGTGACATGGCATCACTATGCTCAGCTGACAGGAACCGCCTGCAGCAGCTATCCAGCAGAGAGTATTTTTCTCTAGCTGGGAGTCAGGACTCAGCCACATAAAGGTACACTTGGGCCACAACAGTGTTAGAAAATGCCTTGGAGATAAAGGTTTGCATTTAAATGGCTGGACCCATCGGGTATCACCTAGCACAGGGCTAGGTAGTGATACTTCTGCTGATCTGGCTCTGCTAGAGGGTGCTGGCTCCCAGTCATTGTGCCCTCACCCCTACTGCAAGCTGCCACCAAAGAAGAAGAAAAGAATCAATAGCAGTGTCTCCTTCCAAAGAGCCAATTCCAGAGGGATTCTTTATTTGGTTCTGCTTCTCTATTATCGGTTCCCTGGTAGGCAAGGTGATGTCAAGAACTCGTGCCAGAAATTTAGGGATGGCACTACAAGCCTAACTAGCTCTTACCTCCTTCTCATCCCCAACTAGGGGTGATGGAAAATAAAAGCATAGTTGCACTAATGGGCTTGCTGCTAGCTCTCACCAATAGCACAATTCCCACTGCTAGCAATTAAAAGAGCCAAGAGTGTACACAGGTCCCCAGAGCCGCACGCTACGGGTGGGAGTGGGACGGAATCTCCACGAGAAGATGCCTGCATTTTGGAAAATTTCTAACAGACTCTAGCAGACTGACGCTGTCCTCATAGTGCCACCTTCCACTGGAAGCCACTGACGGTCCTGAAAACTTTCTTTACATGACACCTGCCCGAGTCAAACCCTACTCTGTATCTTCTTAAAGTTAGACAAATTCTTGGTAAAAACTAATTTTGCCATGTGTTGTTTCAAGAATGTGAAATGCTCAAATAACATAAAATAACAACTTACATTAGGATGCTGAAATTTCCTAGTTTAATTTTCACAAAACTAGACTACAGGAAAATTCCAAACCAGTCATGTTATCTTCCACAAGAAGCAACAGGATTATTAATTTATAGTTAAGATCCTGTTAATGTTTTAATCACACTAATTTTTGAAAAGCATGTTTATGTGAATAAAGCATACACTTAGAAACTCAGTATTAAAAATAGCATTATTTTTATTCACAAAATTAAAGTTCAAAGCAGTAAGAGACTTTTTTTAACAAAACCACGTAAATGGATTTTTTCTCACTGCAGGTATGTGTGCATATGTATGGCAAAGTATTTAGAAAGACTAGAAACTGAGCCAAGCTATCTTGAAATTGAAATATACAAAAAAATAAATAAATAACTTAAATGTACTTTTATCAGTATTATTCTAAACAAAACAGAAAGGCTCCCTCAGTGGGAGCTGAGGTAAAAAAGTAAACTTCACTGAACCAAGTTTTACTCTGCTGATCAGAGTTTAGGTTGTAGAAAAAGGCCATTTATTAAATAATCTATTTTTTTCAATACTGTATTTTTATCTTAAATCTTGTGTTTATAATATCAATCTTATAAAAGGAATTAACCATTCACATGTGTTACTTAGCATTATGGCTTTCTTTCAAGGTAGAACTGGGAGAAAGGAAAATGCAAAAGTGTTTCTCTTAATAAGGAATGATATTCCTTTTTAAACTTCCCCCAAAGAAAGTCCCTTTTTAAAGATGAGTAAAGAGATTAGGGAAAGATGTGCAGAAGCAGAGAGTCAGCACAAAATGAGGGAAGAGTGTCAGGATGCTGGGGAATACCCTGGTCATAAATACTTTATTTCAGATCAACCCTGTATCATTAGCCAGAAGGAAGCAAGACCTGTATATTCCATTCTACACTGTTACCAATATCCACTACTATAAATTCTAAAAATGCTGTTCTATTAACAGCCATGTTTGGATTTTTAAAAAAACACTGCTGGTATTACATAGTACAATGTTGTATCCAGAATGTCTGCAAAGTTCAGAAAATCAACTGACTATAATCTAATTGCAACTGTGAGAATTTGCATGTAGATTTTTCCAATGCCATGAGTCAAAAGTATATTAATTTTCTATTATCCTCTATAGTAAGAAACAGAAGCATTATAAAGACAAGATGCAAGAATACAAAGTGACTGTTAGAAAAATATTACCTGTTTCTGAAGCAACTACAGGTACAGAAAGAAAAAAAAAAAACAATAAAAATTATCAGATGAAATAATGAATACAAATTCATCATGTGCTTAATTCCCTGCTTTATAAACATCCAATTTACAAAAACCTCTAGACCATAAGGAAAAAGGAGTACAAGACTATATAACCCCCTCCAAACTCCCCTATTCTACCTCTACATTAGGTTGGCTCTCAAAACCGAACTTCCTTCTGATTCTGGGCAAAACTCAGTCATTTTGGACCAGTGGTGCCACCTGGTGGTGATAGGAAAGAAAGGTCTCAACCAATATTCCCCCCATCTCATAGGTAGGTATCCCCTTCAGCAACAAACCCAGGAAATAGGATAGGTGCTCTCCACTTATCCTATTCTCTTCTTTTACTTCTCAGTTATGACTCTGAAAAAGCTGCGTTATCCGAGAATATTTTAAAGAACCGTAATAGTGGTGAAATAAGTTAAGTGCTAGTAACATACTATAAAACAAATAAAAATTAAATGTATTAAAACTACAAAATGACATAAAACTAGATGAAGTTTAAAAATTACCAGATTTAACATCAGAAACCCTCATAATATGCTTCCAGAAGTCTTCACCAAAATTCTCAACTATCCATGTCATCTCTCAACTGTTTTTTGTCAATGAAATTCTAGATAAAAATTTCATTTCAATAATATCGTTCTGTTTTAACCATTATTAATAACGTCACTTTTTTCAACAACCTGAAGAATGTCTTCTCAACATATACCATTGGTTATAAATGGACCAATCTACACATAACAGAGTCTCAGTTACAATGGGTGCCAACCTCGCAAATGAGAGACCATTTTTAGCATTTACTGAGTATCACTGAGTTTGGATGAGCTGGGGATTCATATCAGACTAAAACACAATCTCTGCCTTTTCCTGCAGGAGCTCCTAGTTAAAGAAGAGTAGTTACAGAAATGAAGCAAATCCTTTAGAATGTAACGTGAAAAGTACTAATGTTTAAGAACATAATTCTGAGGTAAAAGAAGTGTAGTGTCCACCTGGTGTGGCTCAGTAGATTGAGCATCGTCCCATAGACTAAGAGGTCCCAGTTCAATTCCCGGCAGGACACATGCCCAAGTTGGAGGTTCAATCCCCTGTGGTGCATGCAGGAGGCAGCCAATTGATGTTTCTCTCACACATCAATGTTTCTATCTTTCTCTCTCTCTAAAGAACGTTAAAAATTTTTTAAAAGGCTGTGGTTTTAAAAACAACATTTGAGCCCTGGCTGGTTTGGCTCAGCAGTTAGAGCGTCAGCCTGCGGTCCAGAGAGACCTGGGTTTCGTTCCCGGTAAGGGCATGTATCTCGGCTGCAGTTTGTCCCCGGCCCTGGTTGGGTTGTGCAGGTGGGAGCCACCCGATGTGTACCTTTCATGTCGATGTTTCTCTCTGTCTCCCTCCCACTCTATCTGAACAAAAAATAAAGAAATGTCCTCAGGTGAGGATAAAAATAAATAAATAGATAAAAACAACATCTGAGTCCCAGCCAGTGTATGGTTCCGTTTGCGGAGAGTCATCCAGTGCACCGAGAGGTCGCAGGTTTGTGTGTTCAATCCCTAGTAGGGGGCATGCAAGGAGGTTGCCGACTGATGTCTCTCTCTTCTCTTACTCTCTAAAAATCAATAAAATCATATTATTTTTAAAAAGCCTTCAAAAACAAAAGTAAAAATTAAGTAGGGGGAAGTAGAGGGGTTATAACATAGACCAAAGTAGCATTAAAAATACAATTTCTTGCCCTAGACGATTTGGCTCAGTGGTTAGAGTGTCAGTCCATGGACCAATGAGTTGCGGGTTTGATTCTGGACACGGGCATGTACCTCGGCTGCAGTTTGTCCCCAGCCCTGGTTGGGTCGTGCAGGAGGCAACCAGTAGATGTCTCTCTCACATCAATGTTTCTCTCTCCCTTCCTCTCTCTCTAAAATATAATAAAAAAAAAAATCAATAAAATCATATAGCCCTGGCTGGTTTGGCTTAGCAGTTAAGGGCACGTATCTCGGTTGTAGTTTGTCCCCAAGTCCTGGATGGGTCGGAGCAGGTGGCAGCCACTCGATGTGTCCCTTTCACATCGATGTTTCTCTCTTTTTCTCTCCCACTCTATCTGAACAAAAAAATGGAAAAATGTCCTCAGGTGAGGATAAAAAATAAATTAAAAAATAAAATAAAATCATATAAGAGGTCAGTGGTTCCATCCCCAATCAG